TGGAAAGCAATGGATATGATAAAATCCTGAATAATAGAGATTATGTAGCAGAGCATAATGACCAGAAACCAGGTGGACATAATTACTGTAATGAACAGAACTGCAGAACTGTTGGCACATAACAACTCTGTCCAAACCCCTGCACTGAGAGACTTGACCCAACTTTAGCATGACTTTTAGCAGCATAAGGTCATGTCCCTAGGATGACCACTGCACCCCCTCCCCACCCCATTAAAAAGCCCCGTCTGAGAAAGCTCAATGCTATTGGAAAAATTCACTATTCTAACCAACACCTAATAGGCCCCTGACCTCCCTTTCTTAGAACATTTACTAAAAAGGGCTTATAATTATAAGTGTGTGTCTCTTGTAACTAAAACCTCTCTCAAGACCCTGAGGGCCATTCCTTTTAAATGTAGTCATCAAGAAGGGTAAGGCCTCTATCTCCCAGTCTCTGTGGGAGGATAGAGTCCTCACTTTGATAGTTGTCAGTTAACACAGCTGGCCTAATCGCATTTACACTGACCAACACTTTGTACTTTTTTACTTCTCTAACTCAACTGAGCCCCAGTAATCCCCCTTCCCTCATTCTCCCTTTAAAACATCCAAATCACCTCTGCAAAAATCAGAAGGGAGCTCAGCTCTTTTCCCTAATATTAGTAGTTACCAAATAAAATCTATTTTCACTGCCTTAATATCAGACCATGTTCATTTCTGACAACAGCTAGGACGGCGACCCACAGTTATAGAGATACTTAATAGATCACTGCATCTCTAGGGGCCATGTGAGTGGGGCATCAAGAGGGGTAGTATTCAATCTTTATAGTGAAATCAGTGATGGATGATCAGGAGGTTGAGGGCAATTGCCTCAACAAAAAGATCATGATCCGTGTCCAGTTTTTGGATTTGAGGCAAGTTTTTGTTCCTATAACCCATTGAAAGTTGGGTCCTAGTAGGAACCCTGCAATATCATGGCAAGTATATATGGTATCTATTCGCCCAGATCTCCTCCAAAGGAATAATTTTTTTTTTCTTTCTTAAGAGACAGGGTCTCACTCTGTTGCCCAGGCTGGAGTGCAGTGACACAGTCATAGCTCACTGCAGCCTCTAACTCCTGGACTCAAGTGACCTCAGCCTCCTGAATACTGGGACTACAGATGCACACCACCATGCCTCACTAAATTGTTTTTCATTTTTCAGAAACGGTCTTGTTATGTTGCCCAATCTGGTCTTGAACAGGAATCTATAAGCTTTAACTCAGATACCTGTACCCTGGAGAAGGGGGAATGCCCGAACATTTCAAGGTCTGTTTGACACAGAGACCCGAAGCATCATCATGGTTCCTCTATCAGAGTGGGGGCCATTTGAGATCCAGGTAATAATTAAAATCCTAGCCTCAGTCTAGTTCATAGTGAGTCCATTAGTCTGTAGACTCCTCTGGTGTTCATGTCTCTAGTTCGTGAATTTGTAATTGGAATAGATAGATATACATGGGAGTTGGCACAACCCTCACATTGTTTTTCCTTGACCTATGGAGTAATAACTATCATAGTGGATATATTAGTTTTCTAGGGCTACTGTAACAAAGTACCACAAATTGAGTGGCTTAAAACAACAGAAATTTGTTCTCTTCCAGTTGTGGAGGCCAAAAGTTCAAATTCAAGGTGTTGTCTGGGTTGGTTCCTTTATGGGGACTCAGAGGGAGAATCCTTTCCATGCCTCTTTCTTAGCTTCTGGCAGTTGCTGGAAATCCTTGATGTACCTTAGCTTGTAGCTGCTTAACTCCGGTCTGTCACATGGTCATCTTCCCTGTGAATTTGTCGTGTTGTGTCTTCTCTTCTAAAGTGGCCAGTCATTTTGGATTTACGGCCCACTCTACTTCAGTACGACTTCATCTTATTGCATCTGCAAGACCCTTTTTCCAAATAAGGTCACATTCTGAGGTTCCAGGAAGGACATGAATTTTGAGAAGACTGTTCCAACCCAGGACAGTGGGAAACCTGCCCTCCTCTCAGCCAGGATAGAAAATAAAACAGTTTATTTTGGGAGAGGGGATGAGGAGGGAAACGAAAAAATTAGTGTTACTATTAAAGACCTAAAGATGCAACTGAGGGGTGGTCTTTATCATATTTCCAATTTAATACACTAATCTTGCCCTTGCAAAAATCAGAGAGATTCTGGAGGAAGACATTAATTTAGTGCAAGCTCAACCAAATAGTTTCTAGTTGAGCAGCTTAACCAGATGTGCTACCTTTGCAAGAGCAGATTAAGAACAGTTTATGTCACATGGTATTCAACCACTGATTTGGTAAGTGACTTGTTTTCCATTCCAGTCAAAAACGTTGTGCATTAATCTGGAATGGACAAAAGTATACACTTCAATCTTGCCCTAAGGTTAGATTTAGGTTTTCCTACGCTTTGTCAATATATTCCAAAGAGACTTGGATCAGCTGGATATTTTACAGTAGGACACTGGTCCACTCTGTTGATGACTTCATGGATTAGATGAGCAAGAAGTGACTAGTACATTGGAGGCATTGGTAAGACATGGTGCTACAGAAGGAGTATATCGAAATCTAATGCAAATAATATTCTGAAGAATAATTATCTTTTACCATGTCCTCTTTACTGTTCAAAATATACTAGATTTCTCCTTAGGAAATCTATTTTGCACCAAAATGATTTATGATTATTTAATGCAGGGTATCTGAACCTAGGCACTATTGACATTTTGAATACTTTTTTGTTGTGGGGGGATGTCCTGTGCATTGTGGGATATTTGAAGCATCCTTAGCCTCTTTCCAGTAGATGCCAGTAACTCTCCACCCCAACCTAGTGGCAACAAAACATGTCTCCAGGCTTTGCCAAATATCTCTAGGGGGGAGACAAAATTACCCCCATTTGAAAATACCGAATTAATGCATAGATTTAGGTTGAAAATAGATTCATTTCATTTACCCAAAGATGTCAGTGGCAAAGTTATCTTTAACACTTTTCTGTAGTGTTTCCATACACAGGTAATGTTTCATGCTCTGTGCTCAAAGGGAGTTAAGTTCTTGA